TCCAGGCCATCTCCCCACAGCCTCTGGCTTTTCTAGCCCTTTCTCCTGTGCCCCTCTGTCCCCATGCTGAGCCACAGATGACAATGTGGGGGTTGCTTCCAAATGCCCCACCTTACAGCCAGATCAGACCTCGCAAAATTACTCGTGGTGGTTGTAACGGGGTGCCTGCCTAAAAGTGATTACTGTGAGATGAAAATTCCAAGCCATCTGTAGTTTTCAATGGAAATGTATCCAGCTGGGGAAAAACTGTCAGGTTCATTGCTATGGTTTTTTTCTTTTTCAATTGTACTTACTTCTGTGGATATTTTAATACATCTTTTTCAATTACTGAACTGTGTCATGTGCTCGGTCAAGCAGAGAAAGAGAAAAGCCTTGCTATTCATTCCACCCTGGCCACGCTGGTTTGCCAGGAGCACCACTCGCGCGCCTGTCTTGGGCCCTTGGCACGGCCGTGTCCTCTGTCTGGAACACACGCTCCGTGCGTGTGGGTGCAACTCGCACGTGAGCCGCGTCCATCACCTGCAAGGCGGCCAAAACGAAGACACACGTCCCCCGTTGTACGAGGGCAGCCGCCGTGGGATTGTACGGGTCCTCTGTCTCTACAGCTCCTCCCAAGTTAGAACCAAGTGTTGGGACTTTCCTTCCGCGGGAGCCCTGGGAAATGGGCAGCAGCCGCGTCCCGTTGTTCCTGAGGAGCTGTGGCCCGGAGCTGACTCTGTGGCATTAAGACGAAACTCACAGCCTCTTACCCCCTTGAGGAGGTTGGCCCCACGGAGCCCTCTGGTGGCAGGGTTTAGACCAGTAACTGATCCCAGCTGCCTACAGAGCTGGAGCGTTCGCAGAGGAGGAAAGGGCTGTTTTTAGCTTTAGTAGAGGTGGTGGCAGGTAGGAACTGACCACCTGCTTTTAGGTGGGTCCACCCCCCACCCTACACAAACACACATACACACATTCTGCCTGTATATTTGAGGTTTTTCATTATAAAGCACTTCTAATCTGTACAAAAAAATATTAAAATCAACCCCCTTTTATCCATCCTCAATGAATATTTCACCCATCCCTTTCTTTTCCTCCTTTCTGAACTATTTCAAAATCCCAAAATCATGTTTAGTTCAGCCCTACATTCTTTGATGTGCATCTTTAAAAAATAGGAATATTTTCTTATAGAACTGTTATGTCACATTTAACATTTTTAAAGACACATTTAAACAAACAATTCTTTGATTTCCTCTAATACCCAATTCCTACTCAAATTTCCCCTTGTCTCAAAAATGGCATTTTACAAATGTTTTCTTCAAATCAGGATCCAGACTTGATTCTAGTAAAGACGGCCTGCCCGCCTCACAGCGATGGGGTGTCATCGCCCCTGGCACTGTGTCAGTGGGCGTCTGAGAATCAGACCGTCAACTCCCACCAGCTGTTAATCTCTGGTATGGATGCCCCAGAATATTTTAACCCATTTCTGGATATTTCGGCTGTTTCTGGTTGTCTTGTTTTTGTCCATCACAAGTGGTGCTATAACTCATTTGTCCTTATGAACTATTCAAGAAAATAAGCCAAATGCAAAATGATTTGCAGCCAAGGAAAAGCAGCACAGGATGAAACAAGTCCTGGGAGCCCCGTGGAAATGGGGTCTGAGTCCGCCCGAGGTGAGGGTCTCAAGCTCCCCTCCCCTCCTTACATCCGTCCTGAAAAGCCGCTGCTCTGAAGTTTGACTAAGTCAGGTTGTAAGAAAAACAACCGGGGGCAGAAGGCGGGAGGGAGCCCCACACCTGCAGGACCGGCTGTGTTTACAAGGAAGGAAACTCAATCTTTCAAGCTCCAACAGCCCCGGCCTGTGCTTCCTCCTGCAAACAGGATGTTAACTGCTGTCCCCTCTCGGCTCAGGGTTCGGAGTTCACTGTTGGCTCATTCCTCCCTCACGACCCCGTGGGTCTGGGGCTCTTCCAGAGAAGGAAGGCGGGGATTTTTTTCCCTGCCGTCTAATTTTCTGATCTCCCTCCATCTGGGAAGGGGAAGCCTGGCGGGTTTAGTATTCTCACACTTCCTTTTGAGCCTGGCCCTCTAGGGCTGTGCGCCTGACACATCTGTAGTAACTCTGCCCTTTGGGGCATTAAGTGATCCCCTGACCCAAGGCTGCTGTGGGAGGGGCGAGTGCCGGCCTGCTGAAGGCCTGAGGCGTCCCTTCCCTGATCAGGACTCCAAGGACACCGAGTTTCAAATCAAGATCCTTTCTTGGTTCTTTCCCTGGCTTTGAGTAGAGTTATTTTTTAAAATTAAGAGAGTCCTTCTAATAACCAAATTATTATTCTTTCTAATAACCAAATGAAAAAAACAGGATTTAAATTTACTGTGTAGGGAATCTCTTAAGGTATACCACAGGCCCAGAGGAACGCGGAACATTTTGCAGATCCTGGCCTTGCTGTTGAGGAGGAGCCCCAGGCTTTCTGTGGGCAAGGCAGAGAGGGAGAGCTCTGAAAAGCTCGCATCACCAGCCTGGTCCCAAAGAAGGTGGGACATCCGGCCAACACATGGCGATGCGCAGGTGTCCCAGCGCTGCGTCCTCCGGCTCAGGGCTGAGGGGTGTGAGACAGACTACATCACGGGAAAGGAGCCCGCACGGCGGGGCGCGCAGCCTGATCCCTGGGCACAGGGCACCTCAGAACACGTCAGGCTGGGCTGTCAGACAGACGCTGAGCCAGTGACTCACTGTTGGCTAATAACGTTGAGCAAGAGAGAAAAAGGCCAAGGGAGAGAAGTGGAGTGAACTTAGGAGCGGTGTTAGCACTTGGCTGGAGATAACTGGCCACCTTCCACATCCCCTAAAAAAATGCCATTAGAGAAAGCCAAAGATTTGGTTCCTCTTGGAAGTTTGATGTCTCTTCAATTCTTTCAGGATCTTAGATTTTGATTCTTCCAGGGCCACCCCACAGGCCCCCTCCCTGTTGGCAGACGTGCATTAGTGTCGCTGCAAGCTGCACCCCTTCCCCTGGGGGCAGAGGCGGCTGAAGCAGGGGGACGTGGGGAGCTGGGTAGGTCCTGGAGTCACGGCAGGCGGGGGACCCGCGTGGCCGGAGGACTAGCCCACCTGGCGGCAAGATTCCCTCTTACCCGATGGTCATTCCCCTCCGCCGCAGGCTGCTATATACTCTGCTGTAAACATGCCCCGCGTCACCCTTACATGGTTAATGCAGTTCCTGCACCATCCTGTGGGGCAGCCACAGCCACGTGTGAGGTGCCAGGATGCAGCCGTGCACAAGATGGCATGCTGAGGGCCTTCTAGGGCCTGACACCAGCAAGCAGCTGGGGACACCATGAAGGAGACAGAACAGAATGCCTGCCCTTGACCAGCCCCAAGCTGGCGGCACCAAGCAGCCCCACGAGCAGCTCTAAGCAAGGCCACAGAGGCCACTAAGGAGTGACGGGGCAGACTGGCATTCAGGGCAGGACACTGATACCCGAAGACTGGTGAAGACCACCGAGCTAGGAGCAGGGATGGGAGAGCGAAGCCACGGTGATCAGAGCATTGGATATGGTGGGGTGCCAGGCCTTGAACACCTTGCATGCCAGGCTGAGAAATGGGGAGGTTGTCCCGAAGGTGAGCAGGACTTCAAGCAGAGTCATAAACGGGGATCTGCATTTTAGCAAGCTTCCCCTGCCGGCTGTGGGTCAGAAACGGCGAGACAGTGAGCTGGGTGGCTGTGCGGAGCAGCACTGGGCATGAGGATGAGGGGCGCGCCCACAGGTGGTAGGAGGGGAGGGAACGGTGGTGGCAGAGTGGAGTGACCGCCTGGGGAATCCCAGGGAGGAGAGTCCCAGAGGGCAGGGGCTGGCAGGACTGGGCCCTGAGGGGGCCGCGCTGGGGGCGGGGGCGGAGGAGCAAATGCCATAGTCTACTGAGCAAACAGTGGGGGCCGGGCCGGTGCTGGGGACCTCTCAGTCCTCACTTCACAGGCCTCCCCCCTGTACTTGTTGCTTTGAAGCATTTTCCTCAGAGAGTGGATCTCCGACTTCAATATGATCCACGTCCTCTTAATTTCTTTCAAACCTAAGCCCTTAGGTCTGTCTCCGTTGCCCTTTATTGCAGGCTGTCAGCAAAGGCCTCCAGCCCTCATCCCCGTCCACCTCGCTTCCCACCCATTCTCCACAAAGAGGGTGGTGTTGCCGGAGCAGATAGGTGGCCCACACCCCTCCTCAGTCACGTCACTGAGTGACTCTTGACCTGTAACCCCACAAGGCCACCCGCCACCCAGACGCTCCCCGCCTCCTGTCACATACCTCCCCTCGCTCAGTGGAGCTCTAGCCAGAGCAGGCGAGGGGACCTGGCTCTCCACGGCCTGAAAGTCTTCACCTGGCTGAGGACTCCCTCTTCCAGGAAGCCTTCTAGAACTTTTAAAGCCACAGCAGGGTGCGCGCCTCCCCACTTAGTTCGCCTGCAGACACTGCTGTCCTTCGTAAGTCTGCGTTTTGATTGTTCCTCAGCAGGATTCTGGCTGCTCTGCCTGAATTAACTCGTACCAACCTCACGAGGTAGAGCCTACTAACAATCCCATTTTACAGACAAGGGAACTGAGACGCAAAGAGGTCAGATAACTTGCCCAAGGACACAGCGGGCACTGGGCCGTGTGGAGAGCCAGTCCAGGGAGGTCCCAGGCCCACTGACGCAGGCAGTTTCTTATCCGCTGGTGTGACCCAAACACAGAGCCTGGCCAGGACAGCTCATGTTAAGTATTTTGTGCCAATCGCCGTGAGGACCCATATAGTCCACTCATTCATTAGCTAGTAGGCTCCTTCTAAGGGGCCCGTGAGAACTAACTGGCGATGATCAGATGAAGGTATTCTAACACATTCATTAAATCGCAAATGCCTTCTGAAGCTCAGGCACCGAGCCTAGTGCTGGAGGTGAGACAAGGCTGGCAGGGCCTGGCGGAGAAGTCCAAGGCTCGTGGTAAGAAAAACAGGACCATCGCCTCTTGGGGCGGGTCCCAAGGCCGTTGTGATCATCTGCCTTCTCCCAAGAAGAGTCCCAGCCAGAATCGACTTTCCCAAGTGTGTTGCTGGGAACTAGCGCCGGGAGCTCGCCGCAGGTAAGAGGGGGCCGCTGCAGAAGCCCTCGGGGCCCTGGACGCAGAGCTCGGGGAGCAGGGCGGGAGCCGCTCGGCGGCCACGCGGGCCCGGTGCCGCCACCTGCCGGCCGGAGAGGGGCGCCGCCCGCCCTGCCGCGAGGAGGAGCCGCCGCCAGACCGCCGCGGGGGCGCCTGGCCCCGGCCTGTGCGGTTCCGGCGGGAGGAAACCGACAGGAACGTCTCAGAACCGCCTGTGGCCCAGACGGGGCCAGAACCCAAGTCCGGGGTCTCTGTAAAGCCTGAAGCCCAGTGCGCTGGGTTCAGACGCACGCGTGGAAGGTAAAACCTGCGGACGGCAGCGGGCCCCTTCCTGCCCCTGCTCTGTTCTCGCCCTTTTCCGGGACTGGGGCTGATGCCACCCGCCCTCTCTGTCTCCCTCTCCAGCCTGGCCTCTCCTCCCTGCGCGGCCGCTGCCATTCGCTTCCATTCTTGCTTTAATGAGTTCCTTCTTGCTGGCACTTGTTGCAGCTGAGAATCCTTCCCTGATCAGACACCGGTGAGGTGGCACCGGGTGCGGGGGCGGAGACCTCCCTGCTGCAGCTCCCGCTACCCCTCCTGGAAGCCCTGCCCGGGAGGGGGCCCTGGGGCAGGGCCGGTGCCTCACATCCCCGCAGCTTCCAGCAAGGACCCGCCTAGGCTTGGCCCCCTGTGCCCGTTAGTCCCGTAGACACCTAGTTTCCCCAGGCCAGGCCTCGGGAGCTTGTCTCAGGGGCACAGCCCCTCCTATACCCACTACCCCACACGCGCTGTCCACCCACTCCGGGCAGGGACAGTGTAACCGAAGCGACTGCATTTCAGGGGCAGCTCAGCTGAGCCCCCTGGTGTCTAGGGTCTGTATCAGCTGCTCTCCCCACCCAGCTCCAAGAAACAGGCTGGGTGAGTCCCACCAGGGGGTCTGTTTCCTCTCCTGGACTTAAGAGCTTGTTTGCCCAGGGCAAGGATGGTCTTTTATGTCTTTCTGTCCCAATCAGTGCATGGTGTGGCGATCAGTCAAAAAGTGTTAGTTAGAAAGTAAATCAGTAAATAAATACTGCGAATGATACACAAAACAATGAAGGTAACTGGAGACTGAGGAATCCTGGAGCAGCAGGTCCGCAACTTGGGGGGACAATACTGCATGAACTTTAATATTGGATGTGTTTATTTTTAAACTGGGTCATCTGCCTGATACTAATTGTTAACTTACTTGGCATGTTGAGATTTTCAGAACCCTTACCCTCGCGCTGAAATGGAGCCGTTAGGTAATGAGCCAGCCACAGGGAGTGTGTCTGTGGCAGAGCTCACGTTAGAGCCCAGTGCCCCGATTGCTGCGCTGGCAGGCCCCCAGGCCTCTGTGGCTAGCCTCCCGCAGGGAGCTCATTGTGTCACCAGGGAGTAAGACACACAGCTCTGCCTTCTGCAGAACCACAGGAAATACTGGCCTGTTTGTTAAAGGAACGTCTGTATGGGCATCACCTATGGAAAACCCCTGTGACAGTTCAAGGTGTGCGAGGTGCTGCCCATCAGAATGGCCTTCCAGGGCCGGAAAGTGACTGGAATCAACAAAACGGAAATCCTAGAGCATCTGTTGAGGTGGCCACCTGAGGGGGCTGCAGATGCAGAGATGGCCGAGTCTACCCTACTCCTGGGAGGCTCCGACGGCCAGTAGGAACCGTCCGTGGGCCAGCAGAGACTGGACCTGGCTCTAGGGCCGATTCTCGGGGATCTGGGAAACGAAGTTGAAGGAGTTTACTTTCTTAAATATAAAAATATGTAAACTGTAAGCATGTAAAAGATAGCCACATCAAAATTACTAATATCTCAGTTAAAAAATTGTATTTCCATAGATGTCTGGTGCATGTGGTTGGGAGGGCTTGGAAGCTGCAGTCAGGCACTACAAGCACATGCCTTTTCCAACCTTGCCTTTACAGACCTCCACAAGAATTTGCCATTGTAACACTTATTGTGCTACATGCAAAAGATTGAGCAACTGGATATTTAAAAATAACAACTTCAGTTTAATAGATTAACCAGAAAGGTATCTGTCTCAAAATGTACCATGTGGGTATTAATATTTTTCCATATGATAAATGGACTGAAATGAACAGGTCAAGAAGCTAAAACAACCTGAAAGGCAAAGCCAGTTTGTGTGAAGCTGAGAGAAAGTAAA